TCACTCATAATTAAGTTACAAAAGTTGGTAGATAGCATAGTACAATATTCTATAAAATAAACACATGTAATATTAACAATACCCCCTGCAGTCCAATAATGGCAAAAAATAGCAAAAGAAATTACACATATAAATTAGAGGAGATTGAGTGACGGCTTTAGACACTTGAATCAGAGAAACTGAGACCAGACTAGACTAGATACATTCATCCATCAAGCATAATTAATGTAGAATTTTAGATTTTAAAAACAATTAACAACACAACATCAGGTGCAATTTCACATGCTTTCATTTACCTTCCAGTACATTTCCCAGAGTATTAAAGTGCCTTTGTGCACTCTAGTTTCATTTATAGTCAGGTTCAACACATAATATTTGGAAGTTACTTCATAGGTCACTTTTTTTTAAAAAATAAAATAACTATTTGAACCAATGTACACGATTCAAACTAAGGTGTTTTTAAAGTAGCTTTGTTCTGACCATTTGCTGTTGAATGTCATGTAACAAACCAATTAAACACCAAATACACGGGGCCCATCTCTGTTAAACAAGACTACATTAGAAGATAATTCTTGAAGTGTGTTTTCTGCTGTACAATCCTTAGCTTTTCTCATCTTTCTCCTTTCAAACACTGCTCAAACGGTTACATTTGTCCTTTGGATGACAACCTTCTCTGCAGCTTTCATTGACAGATTGCCGTGAACATGGAGAGTGGAGAGTATTTGGCCTGTGGCTATGGAGAGTAATGTACTTCCCAGGTAACATCCTACAACACTCTGTTGTAACTCAATGAATATGCATAGCATATTCTCCCTGCGAGATACTTGAAGACTTGCAGCCTTTGGATCTTATCCGCAGCAATTACCTGCACTGCAGAACTGACCAGATGTCCTGCTCAGGGCTCCTTACAAACTTTCACCGCTTCCCACTATGCTACTTTCTTAAACCCTAATCTCAATATTAATTACAGCAAGAAAAGGAGAACTTCATGCAGTTTGGCTGTCACTCACCTTGCCCCCAAAATGTCCTTTTCAAAACACAGATAAAGAAGTTTCATAAAACCTACGATCCAGTCTCCCATGAAAGCATGCTCTCCACTAACATTCCACTCCTGCTCTTCTGTGGGAAAGAGTGCAAAAGGGAAATCGCGTTTCCCACAGTATTTGAGGCATTTTGATGGTGTTTTCCAATATCTGCACTTTAAGAGCAGATATGGGAGATACTTTTTTAGGAAATAAAAATTTCACTTTAAATCATTCCACAATGATGCTACAGAAGGTTACCAGTGGCAAGGGCCAAAGAAGGCACTCGGGAGGAAAGCTTACTTGGGGGGGGGGGGAAGGAGGGCGGATGAACAACTAATGATAACTTTAAACAGCAGATGTAGATGCCAGTTTCTATCCTTCCACTGTCTTCCTATACTTGAGAGTACTTCTCATCATGAAGTGAGAAAACAATTACAAAGATCTTAAGTTTAGGCTGTAAACATCCCCGCCTGACATGGCCAGTGCAGGTGATGCCTTCCCTGCTGCTGTAACATGTGGAAAGGCCCACTTTAAATACTGCATAATCCAGACTCCGATTAGCAGGAGGTCTCTGCAGGTAAGGAAGTTTTACTGGGGCTCTAGATGTAGAATATACTAACGTTACTTAAAATATCACATGCATTGAAGTATTTCAAGAACGTACACACTCTGTTAATCAAACTAAAGGGAATTGGTGATTTCCTAATCTACTGCGTACTTTAAAAAGCTCTCCATGAAACTGTAGGGTTATGGAAAAGAATGGTCTGACTATGCATTACAGCAGAAAAAAAAATAGAAAACTACAAGTTTCATGTGACTCACAACTATAAGTAAAGTCTCCAGTTCAGTTCATAAAACAATTTGATTAAAATATTTAAAACATTTCATAATGGTATAATAATTTCCAATGTAATTTATGCAACAAATTCTACCCATATCCAAAAATACCATATATGTAAATGCTTTTTTATAAAACTTTATACAGTTCAAGCTCTTATTAGGCAAGCCTATAAACAATTCTCACAATCACCTAGGCAGAAAGTCTTCAGAAAAGTATATTCTCAGAGAGTACATGATTGAAAATGCTCCATGAATCTTTCCTTTTGACAATCGATTTCTGCTAAATCAAACTCTTATTGCTTAAAATCAAAACAGATGGGTTTCATCAACGACAACAGCACTCAGATACACCACACCAGTCTGGGGAAGGGACCTACTTCCAGTTTTATGGGACAGAAATGCCTGTAAGCCTCATTACCTTTTCCATCAAGATTTCCACGTAACTGCCACCTGTCCTGGACGCTTTGTACAGAGAACAAAAGGAGGCATCACTGGGAGGGAGGGAGATCGATGGCAATGCATACATTTAGTGACCAGTGTCTCCCTCTTCATCTTCTAATTAATTCTGTAATCTGTTTAATGATGTCTGTGAATACATCTCCAACTGTAACTGAAAACAATCTGATCAGCTACAAGACACTAGAAACACCAAATCTAAAATGTGCAAGAACAATGTGAATATAACACCTCTGCAGGCTTAAATTCACAGTTGGTACTATGCCAAAACACCTCTACAGCAAGCTTTATTTACACAACTTCCAATTAAAAATACTGTTATCTCTCAAGCTACACTTTAAATTAACAGAAATACATCCATAATAACTACCGGTAAAAAAACATGATAAAATTATTTTATTTTTTTTAATTCAAAATATTCTGACAGTTTAACAACATTCCAGGTGCATTACAAACACTGCCAAAGTCAACACAACAATCAATACTTAAAGAGCATTCAAACACTGAAGACATATATATTAAAGCAGAGACAGGAGAATGCGCTTGTACTAAGAGCATACAGATCAATTTCCAATAACTGACTTCTTTGAGGCAGATGTCTGATTTCTCCGGCACAAAATGGATAAAAATCCAGAAGAGATGAATTACAGAGGACAAAAATTCAGATGTATAAATGGTTTCCCCCACGTTTTCTATAAAACATTGTGAATTTATCATACAAGGCCACTACCAGCCTAGACTACTCTAGTGTTGACTATTTACGGGATAGAACAAGAAAATCGTAACAGAGAAACCAGCATCAAAGCAAACAAAACCACAAACTCTTTCCAGAATATGGCTTAAATCAGTTCACAGATAGTTGGGAATATATTAACCATATGGTGCAAGGGAATACCAGGTAGAAAAAAATACTTTATCTTCCTGATATTTTCCCCTCAGCCTTCACCATAATTTGCATAAATTTTGCAACAAAATGATACCACCCATCCTGCAAGCATCTTTTCCCATGCTTCAAAAACATTATGTTACTAACAGATCGGTTTCATTCTTGAACATATTGGCCAATATTAGCTCTAAAGTTTAAACACATAATACCCTGTTTCTTCCAATTAACCCAGGTTCTCAAAATAGAGCTAAAATTTCAGCTGTATTTAAAACAGCATGTTTGCTTGAAAAAGTATTTATCTCTTTCTGATATAGAAAACAGACTTCAGATCAAGAACTTGCAAACATGTGTACACAAATGAGTGCATAGTGCAGAACATCATACAGAGAGAGCAGCAAGGCCACAGTGTCACATTAAGTCCACATGTAGAAGATGTATGTTTCCAATGACCAAATCCCTTCTAAAAAGTTTTACTTCTGCGGCTTGCTTAAAGCATTAAAATCTTGCTCTACAGATGGCAAGACTCCTCCATCCCGACTTTTCGTATAGCTGACTTATATGCATGGTTGGACACGTACACAGCACACAGAAGAGACACACCAAAAATGCTTTGGATACATCATCCTGATCTCAAATATTCCATATGAAAGCTTGAATTTTTCCTGTGAAAAAGAAGGAAGTGGGACAACTTTCAAATTACACACCTTGCCTGTGTGTCATTAAAAAAAAAAAAAAGCACCAGCTTTAGCCCAGGGTAAGAGAGCCACAACTCCACTGCAACAGACAGAGGTACGTCTGGTTGCTCCAAGGCTGGACTGGATCTTCGCAGTAAAGGGTTCTTCACCTGTACTGCTCGTCGTTTCCAGTCAGTGCTCCCCAGCAGTGGAAACGTGAAACGCTTGTTGCAAAAATACAAGCGGCAAACGGCTAGAGGAAATAAATCTCTGTATGCTTCCTCAAAATGCTTTGTTTCCCCATTCAATTAGTTTGCTTTTAAAAAGCAGTGTTTTTGCAGAAGGGCCATCAGAACAAAGGAGCAAGGCATTTCCCTTAGTCACAACATCAGACACTCTATTAACAGACTGACTTAATCTCCTAAACCAAATTAGTTCCTGGAACATCTCGCATTTGCATTCTTTTACTCTTTCCTAGGAACAAGCAGTTTCTCTAGCAGTTGTGCAGTTTAAGCCTGGTATTTTACTCCAGCATTTTCTTAGCACCTCAACAGAAATTACGTTGTAGCTTGTCTGTGGTGAACATCGGCTACAGACAACCACCAAGAGGGGAAGCGCCCACACCAGGGTTGAAAGAACAACAATATCGTCCCGTGCCACTGAAAAGCCCTTCTCAATACACTGGCTTCCAGGTTAGATTACTGACTCGAAACAGGATTTCTCTCAAAGTAGGGTTAAACTCCAGTTATTGAAATACAGTAAACACAAGAGGGCAGTACTGAGGACATCGATCCTGCACGTTAGAGTTTTCAGTCCATTTTCTAAAAACCTGCTAATGAAGATACGGCTCAGTGTCAAGGCTAAGTGGGCAAATGTTACCTACACTAAAGTCGTTATGGGAACTAACATAATCCTTGCTTATTGTACAGCTGTACTCCTTGGATTTAAGCCAACCATATACAATTCATTCTACTAATTTACCTATCCTGCTTAATCTCAAGTATCTTCATCCTTTCACACTCCCTAATTAACTATCAATTATTTTCCTGAGTGAGATTATAAAAAGTTAAACCCTTCTACCAAAAGTACAAAGACAAATAAAATATAGAACAATACAAACCCAGTTATACAGCATTACAAGTGCAGAAATTCTTCATGTTGTTGCTCTTCTTTATCATTGGCCCCCAGTAAAAAACATAGCAAAGAATTTAGTTATCCAAAATATTCTGAAGTACTGTGATTAAATTCTTCAGACCATAAATGTAGCCCTCATCCTTTGTGTTGCTAGGAAACACATGAGCAAAATCTATCATTCGGACTTCCACGTTTGCACTTTCCTTTCTCTCTGTTGGCATGTGACAGAAAACTTTTTCCAGTTGGGGTATAACGTTTCCATTCAGATGCTCTTGTGTAATGCACGTGCTGCTTTTCCACATGTTGTCTTGCTCCAAGTTTTCAACTTTTAGCGAGAGTTGACTGTGGTGCCTCTTCGAGTATGCCTTTTTGTGAAGTGCATAGAATTTGGACAAGCCTTTACTTACAGAGGCCTCGATTTTTCCATTCTCTGTAGAATTTATTACATGAATATTGTTATTATACTCCAGTATGTCTCCACCTGATAACAGTCCTTTGGGCACTCCTCTCTTCTCTGCCAGCGTGACATCACTCAACCGCACGGTTGTTGCCTGACACAAACCTTCATAAACAAACAGTAATGAGCTTGCATAAAAGTTGAGCTGCTGCTGGCCCTCAAACCACTTCAGAATTTTTTCAATCTTCTGAATGCTGGCAGCTATCGCATCTTTTCTCAAGCAGTACCCATTGTGGAAAAACTTTGAGATGCCTGCAAGAAATAGACATGTTTCATGATTATTTTCACCTCTGAAAAGAAAACAAACATTTTTCATTTCTTTTGGGATGAGAATAGTTCTTAATTTGAAGAAAGACAGCATTCACATCATTTCCTTTCAGCCAATTATTAACTGAAACAGAAGTGAGCCGAGGAACTTGCATACCTTCAGTCACTTCACCTGTGTAAGGCCTGCTGTATAATACTACAGCTTGGATTGTAAATAAAACTAACTAATCAATGTATCAATCAAACAGTAGATGAACATGGTTCCTGCTCCCCAAGTCATTTTAGCAAGTATCTGGACAGTTTAGGGCAGGGACCTGTTAAATTCTTCGGGGTTAAACAAGCTCAAGCAGCTCTTTATCATGAGTGGCAGAGCTGACAAGTTAGTGCCAGCTCTGGAGAAGGGTGTGTTCATGCATGTGTCCTTCTGTCCTTCGGTGGGGGACAGATGAACATATGTCAACTGCTAACTAGTTTGAAACAGTTATCACCAAACAGCTGTATGATGGCAGCATTTTTATTTATTGTTAATGTAGAGCAACATATGGAATGACTTCAACCGAGAAGGTCCCTTAAATTGAAAGGTGCATTTATAGTAGCTTTCTAATAGAAAAGACAAGATATATTCACAGCAGACAACTGGAGATAAAAATATACATAGCATAAAAACATTTAATACTTCTAAAGGATTTCTATTTCATTGTAGTTTCAAAGCTGCAAAGAAATTGAATTTACCACTGTCACCCCCTCATTATTAGTAAAAGACATGTGATGAGGAAGCTCCTATAGTCTACACCACTGTTATAGCCAACTGCAAACTTAATTTAGGATTGACAGGTAGTTCAAATGAAACAGCAAACAGTTAAAGACCCATCTGGCAAGAGGAGAAAAACAGACTTTTAAAATGGGAACACACAAACTGCTCTTCCTGTACAGTTCTATAAATGAGTAAATAAAATGAAAAATATCCAAGAGCACCAAATTCCAATACACAAATTCCCTCACCGTCCTTCACTGTTTCCTTTGTCAAGCTCCTTCCATAGTGCTGGTTTTGCGTCTCATAGCTGTCAGAAGAGACATGGTAAACCTGCAAGAAACAAGGAGGTAACTCAGTACTTATTTCGAACAACCAATACTTCTGCAAAGCGAAGAGACACATTAGACAGGCTACAAAATCCTTGGTACCATTTAGCCCTCGCAGAGTTTTAAGTTGCTTGCAGCGGTCAGCACTGCCCTCTACTGCTCTGATCTGCAAAATCCTCTCCCTTTACAGCTTGGGCTCTGAGCTACAGCTTTCCTGCATTAGAAAGACATCACTGTGTCGGCAAAAAGCAACACGTCCATTACGGGAAAATATTTTATATGACACCTGCCTTGCAAATCAATGCTAAGACTTGAAACTATCATACTCCTACCCACGTTGCTATGAATATTAAACCAGTAAGATGTAACAAGCTCAAAAATTCAATGCAATTATTTTGCAGTTCTTAAAACTATAAAAATACTAAGCACAGCAGCAAAACAGTAAGAAATATTATGATGTGACCAGGAAGGCCCAGCTCCATGAGACCCATCTGAAACTGTAATTGTTGGCACAAATGAGGCTATACTAAATAAATGAGAGCAGTCGAATGAAAGCTCGGTTCCAGCACTGACAGTGGTACATCAGCTTTCATCTGAAAGGGAGGCAACTCATACGGGTACAGTTTTGTCCATATCAGGAATTGTACAAGCTTAACAACTTAATTCAAAACTGTTTTACATAGAGAGACATTTTCTCTCTAACTGAAATAATTTCCATAGTAGAAATGTGCCAGCCAGCCAGGCCCAAGTATAATTTGTTTATGAGAGTGTAGACAATTCTTATTTGCAGAAATAATGGTGTTACCGAGCAGGCAGTTGTCTCTGGCAGAAACTTTTGTGCTTGGCGCTTGTTCAGACCACCCAACCCTGCAGCACCCATTCCGGCTGCAATGCTCTGCCCTCCCTTCACCCGTCGTAAAAAGAATGGATCCCACGGAAAGCAAGTCAGGGCACACCAGTGAGGCGCCTGCCCCCAATCCTCGCTTTGGGGTCTTTTTCTTGGTGTAGCCCACAGAGAAAGTCCAGGACAGTGAACCATCAGCACAAAAAAGGAGTGGTACATGAGCAATAATTAAAAAAATTAAGAACTCCCTGTTTTCATTGCAGCCCCCCACCCTGAAACCTCTCTCCCCCATCCAAACCACAACAAGCATAGCATGAAAACACAGGTCCGTAACTCCTGCTTTGCAAAGTAGCTGGGAAGAAAAGTCTCAATTAGGTCTTAATTTGACAAAAAGATAGAAGTAATTAAATTCAGGGTCCCCAAGGAACTTAAATCATAGTGTGTGGAAGCTGATTTAAGTCATCAACCACGAGTTGAAGGGGCAGTAAATAATTCTGGTTATACTAAAGAAATAAGTTGTAAGCCTGAATGTTTAAAGTCACTTGGAAGCAGAGACGCTTCCCACTGTTATGATTCCTATTTCCACCGTTACGATAGTTACAGAAACTGAGGCCCTGATATCTACAAATTGCAGAAGTGCAGAGCAGAGTGAGTTACTGTAAAACAGCATCTAACAAGTGTGATTTTCGTTTCACAAAAACATTCATTTTTCACCACTGGGGTTTTTTTTCCAAAGCACATAAAAGAGGTACAGCATACAACATATGAACCCAAAGATTCCTTATGTAAATACTTCAGGTACCAAAGTTACTTTCAAAAACATACAGAGTTTCAGAAACTTTTTAAATTTAAAGAGCTACAAGCCAAAGGTAATTAAATAAAGCAAGACTAAAAAAAAATATATTGCTTAGGAAAGGGATCAAGAGTCTGATGACTACATGTAAGTTTTCACGAGCTGTGTCTTCATGTTAACAATATCAAATGTTCTCATTTAGTTGGTCTAGGGGCAGCTTCCACCATACACTGCACCACACTCCTGAATAAATAATCTTGTTTACCAGAACCTTATCTCTTCCCTGTAGGAGCTAACAGTTTTTGTAACATGGGCACTTGCTCAAAAATGCTGATTAAGATCTGCAAGCTCATTTTGTTTTCCAAAGAAACGCTGGAGCAGCACATAAGCCCCCTGTGCTTCTGAGCTGGGTTTCCCATGAAGCCACTCTACCTCTTCTCATAATTTGCACAAAACCATTCCCCCCAAAATGGCTTTCTATATAGTTTAAAAATACCCAAGCAGATGTGCATGTTTTGCATTAACAGTGCATTTTTTAACTATACAAAATGGTCAATGACAAACTACCAAGTCCCCCACACATACCAACAGTGTAATGTATTTATTTAACTATCTTGTGAACAAGCGAAGACTCAGAATGCCCTTGGTTACCAATGGCCTTGGCTGCAGACAGTAGCATTAAAGGACAACATGTATATGTAATCATGAAAGTATTCTTCATGTTAGCCAAAGAGCTGTCTCTTAATACTGCTTCAAGCCTTTTCTCAACTGCAAGGAAGTGACTAGTTGAAACATCCCTGGAAAACCTCAACTAAATCCAAATACATTAAGCCCCATACTAAAAGCAGAGGAACACAAAACCATGTTCAAACAGAAATAAGCTTTAACCAGTTCTTGCTTCACCCTTACCCACGCTCCCAAAACACAGGGATGGCTGTGCAGTAGTAGCAGAAGACTAAAGTCAGCTTCCTAGTCTATGGACCTTTTGCTTCACTGTGCTTTTGTTCATGCTGTCACCACTACTAAGCTACTACCAACCCTTCCCAAAAGGATATTTGCCTTTGAACCAACCTTCTTCTGTTTCCCTGTTGTTGCAGCTGTCTGTACTAGCCCATTTCTGTCAAAATGATGACAAGTCAAATAAGTAAAATCCGTAGCCTTAACAATGGACAGGACATTATTAGACAGTAAAATCTCATTTCTTGTCCACTTGCTGCAGCTTGTTACACGTTTGCTCAGTATTCACAAGGAGTTTCACTGTATAATGCAAGACAAAGAAAACTCCTTATATGACCTGCAGAACATTGCCTTCAGGAAAACTCCTGCTTCATCAGTGATTTTTATACATTCTTACTACGCAAGATCAGAGCTGTTTTGGCTGACAAAGCAGGGGCTCCACCTTGTGCCTACAAGCAGCTCCCATTCACTGAAGTTTCTGCATAAACAGAACTGGAATCCACCATGCTAACAGGTTCAGTTTTTTTAATTAGTAGTAGTAGTAGGGACTACTACTAATGACATTGACGTTCCCATGAACTAGCCGGTGCCTGGGAAGCAGTTTCTCGCAGAGCTCCCAGTGCCTGTCCCTGCTCCCCTGAATGCCCGCGAGGGCAGCCTGGGACCTGCTCTTCTGAACAAGGACACAGAGATTACAGACACACACTCCGATGCCGAGACATCCAGACTTCAAAGGCCTGAGCTGTGCACCCCTTGTATTTTTTCCATAAATATACTTAACGGTCACCCCTATTTTACACTCATACAGGTAAGAGCGAGTGAGTGTTTAAATATTACACAGAGTTTTCTGTTTACAGCAAGGCACCTCTGCGCTCATAACTGGCATCTGAAGGTCAGCATCCTGCCTGCTGCCAAGACCAGACCCAAGCCAAAAGCAGGTGTAAGCAGGCAGCACCCCCGAGGACATCCAACACCAGCATCAGTCCATCACCTTCGCAGGGGCCACCTCCAGCACCAGGCCGAGACCCACACCCACAAATGGGTACCTTTCGCCTGGACCTCTCGACTGTCCCTACATAAATATACAGGTTTCCTTCACGTCTGAAGAACCCGGGTTTCTCTGCAGTCCTGTGATCTCGCACAGACTCATGCTGCCAGAGTGGAAGACTTAAGACACTGAGTTTTAACAAGCCTTATTTTCTCCTTTTCCAAAAGAAAGTAAAACAAGGAGTTGAAGAAAAAAAATAACAAAGGGAGAAATTTTTAAAAATACATTATCTTATTTGATACTACTGCTTCAATGCTATAACACTATTACTGCTGCTGAGAGCATGCCCATTTATCCAAATCCATTTATCTAAATACACCCCCCCCTTTTAAAAACAAAACAAAACAAAACTTTTGTTGTTGCTAGGCCACAAGTGATAAAAGTACATACATCCCTGCTTGCTGCTAGCTTGAAAATTCAGCACAGGAAGGATGCATCCCTGCTCCCCCATTTCTAAGATTATACTTACGTATTATTCTATCTGTTTTGCTGCTTTGTTCTGGTATTTGACAGAGTGCTTTGTATGATTAAGTATACCAACAAATACTCTGACAATCAATATAAAGTTTTAGTAAGGTCCTTACATAAATAAGTTGTATAATGAAATTATGTTAAAACTAATTCAGTGAAAAAGCAGACTAATTATCCCCTAAATAAAAGAAACGATGACACTGCAGTTAAATAATGAACCATTTTAAAATAGCTTAATACATAATTTTGGACTCCCAGAACTTCCACAGAGCACCTCATTAGAATAAATTTCTTTTATGCCTCCTTTTTATATAATGGGGGGAAAAGAGGCCATCTCTCATTTCATCCATCATCAGCTTTTTCCTAACATACAGGAAATCTTATCAGCCATACGGACACAAGCGGACCAGCTGTCATATACGTGACGAGTCTTTTGTGTAAGGAAAAATTGCCGGAAAAAAATGCCAGGGTACCCATCTGCTAGAACTTGCCCAAGAGGATGACAGATGAATCTCCTGAACTCTACAAAGGAAGTACTTCTGAAACATACCCTTCAATCCACTAGCAGATACCAGACTCCGATGAACCGCTGCATTCAGTTCTGCAGCGTGGATTCGGCACCCTCAGACTGAGAAACAGATGAGCTGAACTCAACTGCAAGAAGCAGGGAGTGAAAGTGGAAAGAGAGAAAAGGGGAGGAGGTGGTGGTGCACAGAGGTCACAAAGCCAGCACAGAGGAACCAAGCAAAGCCTTGGTTCACTGCTCGTTTCAGCCACTGCAGACATCTATTTCCAGACTTTTGGGGGGCACTTGCTTGTTTGGAGGGAGGATTTTTTTCTAGGGCTTGTGGTTGGTTTGTTTCATTTGCTGTGGGTTTGTTTTGGTTTTGTTTTTTGTTGTTTGGGGTTTTTTGGGGTTTTTTTGGTTTTGGTTTTTTTTAGTTTTGGGGGGTGGGGAGGTGTTAGTTTTTGTTCTGTTTTGTCTCCCTGTTTTCTTAAACTTCAAAACTTGAATTAGACTTATAAATGTAAAAAAACCCAGTTCTGGTCATTTTTTTACTCTGGAAGAGTATGAACCCTAGATGCAGTATTTAATAGCTTTATTATTCCTCCCTTCCTAAATCTTTTTATTAACACATCAGACCTTATGAAAATTACGACGACACTAGAAAGGGTTCATAAAGAACTCATAAAACAGACTAAGCTACAGTCAGTTTTAGAATATCTTGCAGGAACATGTGCTGTAGATTAGGAAATTCACTTGTAAAACCAGCTTTGATCAGGTATCTGCATTACTGCATGCACACGCTCATAAGCACAAACAATAAAAGCAAATGATGGATTATACTGGTAAAGTTACGTGATCACCGGTTTGTGCTTTAAAAAACACATTTCAGAAACATTATGGACTACGTGATAGTGCAATCAAGATGTTCTGCAAGAAAACCTGCAGAAATTGGGAATTGTGGATTCTGAACATACTGCGAATCCGAAATGAGATCACAACCCACACGTTCTGTTTGTATTCAACACCATACAAAATACTCTATTTTTAATATTGCATGCACTGCAAAGATATTTCTTACATATTTACACATCTACTACTGAAAGCATATTGTAACTTGTATTTTTGCTGCTGGAACCATACCTTAGTTTTCCAACTTACATTTAAATTCTCACTACTTTCATAACACATCTATGTTCTCATCTGTTAAAGAAAGGAACCTTTCCACTAAATATGAAACTGGGGTTTTAACCAATGTTACTGAAATGACTGTATTTTCTAAACACGTTTCCATGCATTTATTCTGTCTATTCAGTGCCTTAAGATGAATATAGTTTAGCACATGCCAAATGCCAGAACTACCTACATAAATCAAAGCTCTGCCAAATAGGAGACTAGCTTCTTTTAAGGACAAACCGTACATATTTTACATATAAACAGATGACTGCTTATTTACCAGTGCATTAAAAAAAGGTGTATCAATGGCTTGTGGGGTAAAAACCCACTATAAATAAATTTTGGGGTAAAAACCCCCACCTGTAAAACATTTTTACTTTTATCTCTTCATGACAACTTATATGGCGTGTGCTTTAAATAACATAGATAACTACATTTTCTATTTTTCCTGGCCCTCTTGTTCTTGCTCTTCTAAAATAGAAACCTAATAAGCAAGCCCACCTCCATGTTAAAAATAACATTGAACAAAGAAATTAAACACAAACCCCTCTCCTTTCTGAATCGTGTTGTACCATGTTTTGTCCAGCAAACACTAGCAACCTTTATGCAGCATGTGAGCTGTTACAGGCAGTAAATGCCCGTACAGAAGAGTGTTTTGCATCATGGCCAGAATCTTCCAAAACTAAAGCGAGCAGACAGGCAGAGAGCACCCCATAATCAAGAGGCGGCAAGCTGAGCAGAGAAAATGCCTTGTGAATTTAGACTTTGCTAAGTGTTGCATGAGGGGAGGAGGAATCTTCTGAATTCTTTTTGGAAAATAACTTCCAACATGCAATTTGGTACCAAAGGCACAAAACAAATCTCATCTAGTTAAAACACCAGACGGGAAACTGCAATGCTTGGGGGAGCCATCATTATACATACAGTTTGAATTAGGGAAATGAAAGAATTTCTGCAACAGGATAAAGACACCAATAAATGGCAATGTTAGAAACAATAGTCACAAGCAAAAATACCGTGGAAGCAAGCATTCATTCCTTTTGCACTGTCATGAAACAAAGGATGTTGAAGTACATTGTTTTACACACGAGATAAGAAAGGTTATGTAACGACATAAGCCAAATCCAAAGCTGTAATCTACAGCCTTCCTTCTCGAACTGAACTGTTTGACTGGTTTTTGACTCGACTCCCACGTTCTTTCTCATAGGCTTACATAATTACTACTCATGACCACTATAATTTATAGCTGTAAGAGCTTATCTCGAGACAGAGTTAAGGCTGAGAGCCTAGGCAATTAAGTACAAAACATTACAGAGATATTAGAATTATTCCAAACAATGGTGCAATCTGTGTATTGTTGCTGTCCAGTAGCAAAGGGGAAGCTAATCAAAGTCTTCGGCCATTTATGCTTGTTGATGCAGGGCTTCAGAAGCCCTGGCTTTGTGTATGTGCGAAGGAAAACAAAAATCTCACATCAAGAAGAAAATTAATCCTATGCCAATCACAGCAGAAAAAAAATACTTTAAATGCACTGCATCAGGAATTCATTACTGACATAAACACATTTATGTTACTGCTCCATAAAAGTTCTGTACAGTTTTTCTTTACAATGAAGTTTTAGAGTAGCCAATACACCAATACTGAATCTTCATCTTTCTCCTCACCTAAGACAAGGAAATGCAGTAGAGTTAGTACAGACACCTGCAGGGCCTCATCCATCTCAAACTAACTTCAACTGACAGTTGTTCCTCAAGCACATAAGCATCAAAGAACTTTTCTTCTGGTGGAGAGCTTTTTTAAATGCAGAACGTAAGCAGCTATTTATAGCTACATGCATCACCTCTGAGAGCTAACTTATTCTTCTATAATAGTGTCCTAGCGCCCTGTCCCAACCCCTTTCTTGTATACATATACAGAACTCGGGTTGCAAATAGATTCCCAGAAGGGACACGGCCAAGTTAAACACTTGTTGTGAACAAGAGCTGTGTTTTGGAACACCACAGTTGATACCAGTACTACCAACATACTCAGATAACACTTCATTTACGTAAAACTCAAGAGGATTGTCATTTGCCTGAAAAACTAGCTACTGTATCTGGTGTGGGACAACAGACCAGAGCATAAGCTGAATTTGAAAACAAAACAAGTTCTTACCCTCATGCCAAGTACCAAAAAGCCAATCTCTTCCATCAGCGGGTACTTGCTGACCTGCTGCTGTATCTTCTCAGCTGAAGCATACGGATCATAACTTTTCTGACCTATTTTTACATCCATTATGCAAGGCTTATTAAACTTACGGGTCACATCTTCCAGTTTTAGATACGTATCTGTTAAAAAGACAAAACTTTCATAAACAGTGGGTCAAAGCAAAATAATTATATAGTTTCTGCTGAGCTTCTGTGGAGGAAGGAGAATACTTTAAGGCTTAACATCACGTGAGTTCTTTAAGAGTCAAATTTATCACTGAACACAGACTAAATCATGGTCATTGACACCCACAAATTCTGTTGGCATTAAATTCTAAATGCCTTATTGTTTAGAAAATTGTATACAATTAAAGTGTGCTAACCTAGCACTCAAATTCAAATTATTGCCCAGAAGAAATTCATGAGGAGCTTTTATTAAGCTATTAGCATACTTCAAATAGCATTAATAAGCACATACAAATGCAGGTTACTACATGGCTGGTTTTGCAATGGAGACGGTGTTTTCTTTCTCTGTGTGAAAGGGCTAGAATTAAAATGGCAAGTTTTGTTTGTGTCATTTTAAAAATGAAATTAACATTGCAGAGTCCTACCCTACAGCTGAAATGCATTTCATTTTTCTTCTTTTTATCCCACTCCCATCCGTACTCGTTTCTCATGGCACACCTTTTGGGGAAAACCCTCTTCAAATCCTAGGCTGCCTTTAATCCATTTCCAAAAGTCCCTTTGGGAAGGTGCGTGGACCAAAAAACCCCAAGCCCTTTGGAGTGCTTGAAGATGTAAAGGAGTATCTAACACCTGGTCAAACTGGTTTATGCTTTTCTCCAGTGCAGGTAAGAGACTATTACCAACATGATCTATAGCACTGATTGTCAGAACACAACAAGAAAACAAACTTCAGTAGCTGCTTGACTCACAGATAACTCTGCTTGGAGGAAGCCTGCACAGATCTCTAGCCCTTGCCAGGGCACGACGTGCACCAAGACAACACACAGCATTAACACGTCTCACTCTTCACATTGGCTTCTGCAAATCCACCTGTTATCAGTCACACACTTCACATTAAAGTTTGTTCTTCTTTCAGGTACAGCCTACTCCATGAGTGTATTTCTTTGTCTTTAATGCAATCTGAAGACACAAAAACATTGTCTTATTCCCCATTCCAGCAGCGTAATCTAAAATGGGATTGCCAAAGAAAGCAAAAACAGTTCAAGCTTGAAGAGGGACAAAGTGCCTTGTTTTGATAGCTGTACAGACAGGTAACAAAACCAGTTAGAGTTAAGATAAAGGGAACAAGCAATGTTCCATTTCCACTTAATAAGTAGAAACACTTTCTTAAGGATAGGAAATGAAAGGGACTTTTATTACTTTAGTAAGTCCCACTTAGAGCTTCAATTTTTACACCATCATGATCAAATGTCCCAATTCCCCAAAGTATGTATGTATCAATCTGAAATAGGTTTGATTTAATCCTTAGGTGCCTGCTTTATGTATAGATGGGACTAAGCATACTGTTAATGTAAAGTCATTCTCAGGAAAGCATGTCAAACCAATACACTATTTTAAAAATCCAGCCTTCTACTCTAACTCACTGTATCAACTTACAGTACTTTTCAATGTCCTTTGGGCTACAGAATCAATCCAGCTACAGAGTTTCATTATAGACTAGCTCACCCATAAACGAGATTTGTTAACTACAACTGCAGGGATATCCAAGCTAAAATAACTCATACTTAACTTAGAGAAGCCATAGGCAGCAAACATACTTGATACGTGCTCACTTCTCCCTAAGGAGAAGTGGGACAAATACTCTCCCTACCAGGAAGTGTATTCTGTTATTACCTGAACTGCAGGTGACACTTTTTCTATTCAAAGTTTTTATACACAGGTCTAATTCAGTCAGGTATTACCACGGCTTTTGCAGGGCTTTGGGGAACCACTACTGAATCCAGGGGAGTTCATATAACCTTTTAGCTATCTGTTATTAAAATTGTAAAAGTCTAAGCGTCATCCTTCACACCTATCCTTTTTGCATATTACAGAAATCACTGTAATCAATATATTTGTGTCACCCCTCTAAAACAATCCAGAAAACAACTACTAAGTGAAAATCAAGGTTTTCAGTACTTAGCTCTCAAAAGCACCGAGCCAGGCGTATGCCATGGGAGGTGGGGAAAGAAAATAAATACAAAAACATGTCAGAAAATGGCTGCAGTCCTTCTCCACCAACTCCAAAATGTTTTGGATTATGTTGGGAGTACCTCCGGACTCAAACTGCTACAAATACAAAATTATACAGATTGCTAGTTACCACAAATTATACAAATTGTTTAGATGCAATGTTTTTATCAACCCTAAAATATAACTGTATATTAAGTAGTATAAAACATCTATTTCCATAATACAACAAAAAGAGAACCCATAACTAGCTTCAAAAGCAGAACTTAAATCTCCCAAAACCTAGCATACTTCCCTTCAGACAACATGCGGGCAAGATAGCCATCCTCTTCCCATCAAAAGCATTTGTAGAGCACCCATGGTTATCCTCTGTCCTCTACTCCACTGGTCCAAATCCCTCTTTTGAAGCATACAGCACCAGCATTCAACACCTCCAAAATATGTAAAAGTTCTAAATATCTGTGACTTTTTAGTTCCCCATCCATTTCAGATCTGTTAAGCTAGAATACCTCCCTTACTGACCTCCTAAAAATGTAACAATTACTATTTTGAAAAAATAAAGCATTAAAATAACTTAGGAGCTAACACTAACCCTGGGAAATACTAATTACTTTAAAAAGCCTGTGAATTATCCAAAAATGACTCATTTCTTTCACACTTTTTGGTATTATTATTTAAGTCTGCATCGTTAGCTAACTGCTAGGTCAGAATTAAGACTATGTTACATCTGTTCCATGCACACCCCCACTCTCAAAAAGCTTTTTGTCCTTGTGAGAGGAGCAATGCCACCACAGATAAAGCATTACAGCAAGTTATTTCTTCTCACTACAGCTTCAGAAAAACGCATCAGGTGTTTACACTTCGTCTTTCCTGGCACTGCTCAGTTCTTACTGGCATTGTGTTCAAGATCTACGGTCTACTGCAACAGACCCCAAAACCACAGTATCAGAACATATCGCAGCTTTCAACAGTTACCCCTACAATATCTCAAAGCATTAAGACTAAGGCAAACAAAGTAAGCTTCAGATTCAGGCATCGGTAGGTATCACTGCTCTACTTTTCAAGTCAGGTGCTCTCATAGTCTTTGAGGATCTGACCCCAAGTGTCCTTCTCAAGGTCATCAACAAGTCTGCAGCTGAGCCTAGGTAACTAGAGCACTCTTCTTCCTCTGTTTCGTTAAACAAAAAATGGCAGATTTTTCAAGCAGTTCAGATTTTCTGAATTATTGTGTAGTACACTGCTAACCCAACGTGCTTCTGCAAATCATGCATTCGCCATCTAAAAACAGGTTAACTTAAAATCCCCTGCAGAGAAAAGAATTCCTAAGGATTTTTGTATCTTAGCTTTGGTAAATAATCCTGACTATATATTTCAAGGATTTAAACAAATCATCAGAGGCTTGCCCTCCCCCTTTCTATTTTTCACTGGTAGGGAAGGAGGCAGGAAGATGTGGCTTGAGCTATTATTTACATATTTTATTACAGTCCTAAAGGAGACAAACTGAAAGACCACCAAAATTCAGCAAGTATGCATGGCATGAACCACTGCAGACTTCAGCACGTACATGCTGAAGTCCTCACTGGAATCAGAAGGGACAAAATAACTTGAGGCATCTGGCTTCTCAAAACTCACAAGGCATCTCTCAAACCATATGAATAAGCAGGGAAAAGCCTCAGTTGCTCCCAGCACCAAGGCAAGAAAAGAAAGGTTTGAAGCTGGCTTGTATTTATCTACCCTGTTCTCAGTTTAGGCAACAAAAATTAGAGCACAGTATGAAATGAGCAGCAGTCAAGTTACTTAAACAAAAATATGCAGGGGCAACAAGTAGGCAGCAAAAAACAGAACTCTCAGAAGGAGATATAAAAAGCTTAAGATGGCTCCTACATCTTTATAACAACTCTTCCACTTCTTCATTAATAAACTCCAAATGCCCACAATGCCAGCAAACCCAAAGTTCAAATCAAATTGTCTCACTCCAGTTTAGATTAGCTTAGGGAGATGGAGTGTCACCTATCTCTAACTCCATCTCCTGTGCAGTAGTACTAGGTATGCGATTTCAGCATAACAGGACAGTTACTTTACAAAATTTTATTGATACTGTGACTATCAGCCCATCTTTTTGTCACACTTCCTATATTCTCATTTACACTTAATAGATTTCACCCCTTCTAGCTAGCAGTTTGATCCACTCATCTACATTTTCAGCATAGAAAACTGATGCTTTCTCCCTAAATATTTCTCTAAGAAAATAAACTCCTTGTGTTCTCCACCTTACCCACTGCACTTCCTGCTTCAAGATCAAGTTCAGAGTGATCCTAAATTAAGTTAGTCTGTTTTTTTCCTACCACAAGGCTACAATTCTCTTCATGTCTGTATGAACCCACTCAAACTCTCAACCCTCTACCTAGGATAACAACTATATTGCTACACATACAAGACACCATTCATCGAAGAGCCCTCTTTCTTCCTTATCTCATAAATAAAAGAACTTTATAAAAAATGAGGACACCAATGGCCATCCTCTCTCTGCTCTGGCAAACCAGGCAAGCTGTTCCTCCACACGAACACTCTTAGAAAATATATATAGTTCAGGACATGCAGGAAGCACAGTTTGGTAACTAACAGACTGTTTAACTTAATTTTTGATTTTTCAGAAGTCACCTATGGCCAATTTAGCAACAACAAGGAATTGTTGGGTTCACTCTCAGAGGCTGTATGGAGCTGTGTCCCCAGAGTCTGTAGAGCAGTGACTGCCAAAGGAAAGGTCAGGCTTCCAATGTCAAGACTGCAAAAACCAACAAATACATCTTCAATCTACATTTAAGAACTAGATACCTTTCTAGCTGCTAGATTCCCTCATCTAATGTCACTGGGAAGCACCACAGCAGCTAAGCATATTGTTCAATCTTTTGAACCAGAGCTTAATCCACAGCTAATTTGGGGGGACAGGTAACCAACCCATCCCCGATTTCCCCCAAACAGCCTCTCCACGTCCCTCCTCTGTGTGGTTACTTCCCCTTCCTGTTTTTCTAAACTTGTTTTCCTACTGTTTATGCAGTCAAAATGCAACACTGCTGATGTTTTTCACCTCTGGTGCCAAGCACCGATGCACGCGCACAAATGCATCACAGAGGTTTTCCTTCACATCTGGCATTAGCAAAACTGCATTTGCAAACACCTGCTAAACCACTTCCAACGTGAATGGCTACCTCCTTAGCTTTGGATGTATCCAGTACACACACGTTGTGTTAAGCTCCATCATCTCCAGTTTATTTGATTTCTATCAAGACTACACAAAACTCATTAATACTTGAGATAACAGAGTTGGCAATGGAGTGTTTTGTTTGAACCCCCGCCATAGCTTTCTATGAAGAGGGTTCCTGATAGCGCACGGTCTTTTCAAGAAGCAAACCAAACAAAATCAAAAGTTACTCTTCCTTTAAACAGTTATTCCTACTGGCTACATCTGGACTACTGGTGGAGACCTGCCAAAATTCAGCGCCATGGTGCACAGAGCTAGTGAATTCCCAAAGTAAACTAGGGTTGTGTTGAATTACTGTATCTTGGCTAGACCACATATTTTTATGTCTTAAGATCCTACTGTGGATAGAAAACATTGATTTGCAATTTGGAGGGGACATTACGTGAGCTCCATGACACACATAAAATTATGAGGGAAGGAAAAAGATAGCTCTGGTGGAGCTATTTGAGTTAGTGCCAAACATGAAAGCGTGAAGGCAAATCTGAGCCAAGAAAGTGCTGGGTACTACCGCAGTCCTCCTTGCATTTCTTTCTGTAGAATTTAGACAGTGCCTTTGGACACTGTCTTACTACTCTCTTTGGAAAACAAGTCTATCAAGTGACAGCATAAGCAAAGAAAGTCAGAGTTATATTGAAGGAGCACAGCATCTAGTTTTGGTGCCCATGTATTTAAACGGACTCGACGGCATCCTTTTGTTTCTGTATGTTCCCAAAGCTCCATTTTCCCAGTGTAAGAAAAGTCCCCAGAAGAAAAACTAGTTTCTGTTTTAAATACATCAATAATATCTCTTTTCTCTTGAAGAGACAATCTTCCAATTGCCATCCCAAAATACCTTTTTCTTCCTGACTCCTAACATGTTTTAGAAACACAAAGTTTAGATACCAGAGCTTTGTTCCATTCAAACCAGTAACAGAGGATGACAAGCAGAGCTCCCCAGCAAGGTACCTCCTGAAACAACTGCTTTGTATGATACGGCACGGCAATGGCATCCAACCTCTGGAGATCCAGCAGCAGATTCCAGTTTGAACACCTCCCCTTAGGCCCCAACCGATCCATTTTTTCTTCCTTACACACCCACACAGCACCTGGCTCTGGCTCCAATGGCCTGACCAGACATAAACATGCACCAGCCCACTCCGCCGACATGACCCAGACCAGAGCAGCAGCTCCAGGGCAATATGCATCAGGTCCAGCTACTCAGGAAACGTTTGCCATACAAACGGCCATGCCCCATCTCCCCTGGGAGGAAGACCCCCAAATACCTAATCCAGCCAGAGGACTGCAAACTAGAACCGGTTGTTAGTGGGAACACTAGTGGGTTACAAAACAAAACCAAAAAAACCCCACGGAGCTTGCAACTGCCAAAAATCAATCTCCAGAATATTTTTCCAGGAGGTTTGCATTAACAGATAAAATTAGAACAGTACCATTTGGTGCAGTAGGTGGTGACCAGACACCGAAGTATTTTGGCAGATATTCCCGCAGCTCCAGAAGAATGCTGTCGCAACAGTCGGAGTCATAAACCTGAAATAAATTAGGGAGGGGTGGAGAGATCATCAGTTTAAAACATTCATTTTAGACTTCTAATTGTCGCATAATTATAATTTCTTACAGTCTTTGTTTTTAAATGTAAAGTAGAAATCTTAAACATATTAAAAACAGACAAGATGAAGATGATAATTATCACAGTCCAACATAAATGAATGGTATCCTTTCTTTCAAATTTTCAAGTGGAAAAGATGCATCAACTGTAACTAAGAATAATTTATGGCTTCACTTAAATAGAAATCTAAACTATAATTGTTAGCATCAAAGCCTATTTAGAGAAAAGGGTGCTCTCCCATCCTGGATCCAAGACAGCACAGGATTACTACTCTGTATCGTATAGCCGAAGCTTTTTAAGTTATATCAGGTAAAGTATACAAGCTCAGACTGGATAGTATTTCCTCATTTCCTCCATCCTGTAACTACATCACACAGACAATGCACAATTCAAATATATTTCTTTTCATTTGCTTTAACGCTTTCAACATTTTTTTCAGCTTCTGTAAGAAAAACAAGAACCGTCTGGGACCAGCAGCTGGATTATATTCCTGAAGGAGTAATGCTTTGCAGAGTTAAAACAAAGCCTTGGATACTATCTGCTACAGAATCACATGACTGTCACCAGTTTGCAGCATTGTTGTTAAGAGGGTTTCAAAACCATTCCCTTGACCAGATTCCCCCCACCCTGCCCGAAGATCTAGTTACAGACATAGGGGATAACTTACAGCACAATTCATCGTGCTTTGCAGACTAAAAGATCTATATCCACACAAGTACAGGTTACAATGATTATTATTGCATTTAGGAACCATGTCACCCTAACCCCCTTGCAGCTATCCCAGTTCTGATGCTATCAGACTCCTGTCCTGTCCCTCAACCCTGCAGCAGCTGCACAGCAATACCCACAGGCGCTGCACACGAGTGACCAGGGCAAGCCAACAATTCGGCCTTCGCTTCAGTACGCAATGCACAGGAGCGCAGTCAGAGCCCGCTGCAAAGTTGGAAACAATGCAAAAAATTATTTAAGGTGTTAACGGAGCTCTGCAGAGTTGGCTCAGCTCATTGCTTCGAGATCCACATTTAACCACGGTGGGAGAATATCTTGCGATGGAAACTGCAAAGGGTAGGCATCGCAAAATACACGCCTTTAGCGTTGTAATATTAATACAGCTAGGGAGAAAAAAACCCCAGACCTGAAGTCCAGCTACTATTTTAGAGCATCAAGGCAAGCCTCAGCTACGATCACCGATGCCACGTAACTCTAGACAGAGCCTCATGCAGCAGCAGAATGTTAAAATTAGTCAATGCGGGTTTGTGCTAAATTTAGGTTTCATTGCAGAAACCTCAAACTGGGCAAACTCAAATCACCAGTGTGCTTCAAACGCACGGCATTGTTCCATAGCCCTTTAGGCACACCTACTACGGGGCTCTCCTGGACTTGTACCAGCCACAAATCGGACACCTTCATGCCAGCACTGTTACTGGGCAGTGACTGAGAAGGTGACACAACCAAACCCACATCGACTTTACACTAAAGCATTTAATTTGACCCATTCCTTTAACTAGCTTATGGTATAAGCCCCATTTTAAAGATCCTAAGGAGGGGGCTGAATCCTCAAAGCTCAAGCCACACGAATATGTGTGCAGCGTGATACAAAACACCGACATACACCTACCACCACACCCTCTACCACTACTGTTGCTATCTTAAGCATACAAACCTAGGCATACAAACCTAAGTTGTTGGGTGTGTATCTTACAAGTCACAGTGTCGCATCACAGGGTACTGATCTCTTTTCACATGTCCTGGTTTGACAAGCTGGTATCACCTCTGAGGACTACAGGTCCTAGGCCTATTTTTCCTTCATGTTAACACAAGTTGGTATGCTAATATTCTTGTGCTCTAAGACAAAAAACCTTGCTTGTCCCCGGGATCAGTGGCTGCTGTTTATTTTTATTTATGCAACATTTCTTTGCTGAGCCTCAGATGTTGCCAGCAGAAGACAGTGCTTTCCCCAGAAGACTGCAATGTAGCTTGATCTTACTGGCTTAAGGAAGAGAAAAAATTAAGGCTGCGAGAGAAGACAGAGAGAAAGATTAGCACCACACAGATGCTGAGGCACAGACCCATCCACTGCTATCTTTTATAAAGAGAGTTCACTGTTCCCCACCATAAAGACAGCTGTTTCTGGGCCAGGGCTCCAAGCACTGACTGGTGGAATTACTTCATGCTGTGGGTATTTTCAGACAAGTTGTACAAACCCAATTTCTGTTTACTGTGGTAGTTTATTATCATAGCCCCTCACAGCCAAGACAGGGAATCGCACTGCACCCAGCACAAATACTCTTTTCTGAGGTGAATTTAAGCAGATCTGAGAGGCAGCGACCATCATGCAGTATCACAGCCTTTAGGTAGGAGCAAGTATATATATTTAGGACAGGACAAAGAGGAGAGAGATGGAAGCAAAAAGCGCAGCAGACAAGAAGGAGAAACACTGAATGCAACTGAAAAACCAGCCAAGCATAGCAAGAACTCATTGGCTTAATTTATTGGCAAAAAGATTCTGAAAAAGTGACATGTCAGGAGACGACTTCCATTTTTTTTTAAGAGAGACAGTACTCTTGCTTTGACTTACTGTTTAATCACCAACACAAGGTGATTAAACTTAGCAACTTAGCAAGTAACTACAAGTATGCTTCTGCGTATTTCAAATAGTAGGATACAATAAAGATATTCAGATAATTTATAATGGGGTGTAATAGCCCAAAGTCAAGGCCAAATGGGGAAAAGAGCTCCAGGAGCAGTATCTTCCAAGCAGTCTATCCTTTAATACTCCGATGTAAGACATTCTAAATGGAGACAAAAACTCACAGTAATGCATTGTTCAGTATCATTACTTCAGCATAACAGGACAGAAAAGTGCATTATTTCTGTCTCTCAAGAAGTTATCTTGCTCCCAGAAACAGGAATAGACTCCCCTCGTAAGTTTGACGTCACATATACAAAGCACTCATTTGACCTTAATATAGACCTCAGTCTCAGCCTGCAATGTATTTGCACGTCAAACAAGAATAAGCACTCAGTTAATAAAGATCGAAGAAAGCAATCTTGTGTGGGCAAAGCAACAAAACCGGACATTTCAGGAATTATGCTCATTCCTGTGCAGGAGAGAGCCACTTCTGCTCATTAGAGAGGGGCCTTGTATATAGTATCCATGCCACAGGCATTTCTTTCCATTTCATACAACCTCGTAGCAAGCTACACATTTAGATGTCATTCAGAGTGCCAAATATAAATGTATACATGACAAAAACATCCCTAAAATTACATAGGAAATAAACTGTGCACCTGCTGTCCCAAAAGGTATCACCACTGATATTGCTGGAAAACTCACGGAAAAGACAGGTTATCACTTAGGCCAGAACAACCTTTAGAAATAAACAATTAAATTTTTACTTATATCAGCAATGTTCCAATTTCATTTCAAGCAGCTGCGCTTTTTTTTTTTTTTTTTAGTATAACTACAGGTTCATTTCTGCAGCATACAAAATGTAAGTTATTTCTGCTTTACCGGTAACTGTACGTAATGTCTTCATCCAACAAATCAAGGACTGCAAAACAATTCAGTGTCAGCTCCGCCAGGGGAGGTATCCATTCTACATATCACAGGCTACATTCTTCCAATAGCACAAACTGGAGACATAAAATGTAGTAACTGTTGGGCTTGAAAGCAAGTAAACAGGATGCTGACATTTGGAGGGCTCACAACATGACCATTACAAATTACAGCAACTAACTCATAGGAAGAGTATGCCCCAGATATGTCCTGTGGCAGCTCAGATAGTCTAATAGACACCATGAAGTCATAATTTCCAGTTATTCACGACTTTTTAGTTCCGAGGCAAATTTACCATCCCTTGGTTTTTAATCCAAAGAACACTGTTTGTTTTGCTAAGTCTGATCCAAACAGCTTCATCTGTTTTTTAATGCAAACAGGGGCTGCTTGGGAGAATGGGAACGTTCTTTTCCTTATTTAAAGCAGCATGACATTTGGGTTTTGTTTTCTAAAGACTAGGTAATGACATAAATGACAGAGGGAGGGTAAAACAAATGTTTAAATTTCAACAGGAAACTAGTTCTGGCAGTACAGACCTGTCTTCAATTGTCCTGATGAAAAAATACCACTTTGACAGAAATGTCGTCTAATCTTCTGAAGTACATAAGAGAGTTGATTTAAAAGAATACATATTTTAAATTTGCATTTATTTTAAAGCTATTTGAGTAGGAAACTTTAAGTGCCAGTGCAGGCATGTCAGTCCAAAGCATCACCATTTCTTGTGATGGCTATCATAAGTTGTCCCTGAAGGCAGCAGCACTCTAGCTTGCAGTCTCAGGATACACAACCAGCTGCCAACAACAGGCAGAGAGTTCTGTTTCCAGTGTGTTTTTTTGGGAGGTTCTTGAGGGGTGGGGAGCAGTTAGAAAATCATGCACTCAAATTAGCAAATGCAAGATTTACAGATGATAGTGCAACCTTAATTCTGTCTCCCAATGTGTATGCATTATATCACAGACTTTAATTACCTGAGCACACACTGCATTTCCCTCTGGACTCCTACATCACCCAGTTACATCAGGCAAGTACAAGGGGACAAAAAACTGAGATTAAAACAGCAGCTGTGATTTTAGCAATTCATAACTGCTTGGCTTTACAACACAGATAGCCCTTGCTTCTTTTTCAAAGTAGTACCATCATGTTTTGACTTGCGAGCATCCGCAGTATTTGTCTCCACAAATATGACTGGAATTGAGCCAGCTCTGCTTACATTCAAAGTATCTGATACCACAGTAATTCCATAAGTTAAATATTTGTGAATGCTGTTATACTAAATGCTATTATACTGAATTGCTTATTTTACTATCCAATATATAGTCGTACTACACTGGAGATCACAATCATTACTCTCACTGAAGATAC